AAGTGAAAGAAGATCGGAAAATAATGCCCAGTCACTTTTGTTATAAAAGGAGCAAAATTAATGAGCATTAGTGAAAATCCCTTTTATAATGTGAGACCAAGATTAGTAAGATTTGTTTGAATCAAGTAGTAGAAATCAACTATTAATGGGAAGAATTTTGCTGTTTAGTGCTTTTTGGAAGATAATTGTAACGAGGTAAGAGAAATCTTTTTAACATCTTGTTCACTCCACCGTGCCGCATCATCTTAGTCCCCTTAAGCGCCATTAGTACAGTTGCATTGATTATTCGTGCTCGATATCCGAACTAAAATTCGAGTGTTCGAATGTTCAAAAAAATATTTGACTTCTCAAATATTTGAGTACTCAAAAAGATGCATTTACTCGATCATTAAATAGTGAATTTTTCTAAACGAAATGCGGATATACGAGTTCGAATAGTTTCAAAACAGGTTTGGATAACATTGGATAACGATAACATTTGGATATCAAAATATTTTTACCTATTTTGATTTGCGGACATGGGGCCTTTCAGTATTTGGCCCAGTTTGTCACGTTCTAGCAAAATCCAAAAACTAATTAGTTGACGGAGGGTGGGGTCGATCTATATCATTTAATATCATTTCTTATGCTAATCTTTCTTTGAAACCTTATGCAAAACGGAAGGCGTTGGTATGGAGAATATCCAATCTCTTTGTTTTCGGTCATTCCACCAAACAAAAAATGGCGAATATCGAATGAAGCAGTATCCCTAATCCACTCTGTAGTAAGTGGACTATGGGCCGCATATGCCTTACTATTTTACCAACGTTTATTCGACGATCTCATTAATTATCGTTGTCAGGTCGCAGTTGAATTGGTATGTTTTCTTCTAAGAATCTTGCAGAAAAGCTAGGAGTGATCCTCATATTTTTTTAGATATATGTTTCATTCGGTTACCTCTTACATGATTTCTTTGATCTCGTAGTGAACGAACAGTCCGCTCGAATAATCGAGTTACTTTTTCATCATGTCGTCGTAATCACGGGATTTGTCGTTACACTGGTAAGTGTTTTGTAGGTCTCAGTTTTCATATCCTCTTGTACACTCTTCGCACGAGTTTTTGCTTGCGTACCAACTCAGTCTTTAGATCACCAAGAAGTATCTGGGAGTTGTTATTTTTGGGCTTTTGATGGAGCTAAACTCTGTATT